CAGCCCTTCTCCATAACTTAGGTGTCTCTGCAGTGAGTTGATTATATGGAGATGTTGACAAGTGGTTCTAATGATCAGGCCAGAAAGTCTTCAAAGCCATTCTTACATACTTGCTGGAAACCATTTGGGTTCAGGTGCGTTACCATTATTGTGGTGGTGGAAGCTGCATGGTAGCAGGCTTTCCATGCCTGGCGGGTTGTTAGAAGTGAATCCTTCCTCCCAGAGACCTGCAGTAACGTACATGTGGTTCAGGTGAGAGCGTGAGCACGGGTCTGGATCACAGCTCAGAGCCACACACACTGGGTTTCTCTGAGATCCACTGTGCTTGGGAATACAGTGCACAGGCACCCAATGGGCTCTGCTAAAATGCCTGTGGGTCCAGCCAGGCCTACTATGTTGCTAGACACGGGCTCACTCTGTGCATAGCCATCCTGTGCACGTGGTTCCCCTCGCCTGCCCGGCAGTGGGAAGGTGGAGGGGCAATAACTCCTTTATCTTTGTTTAAAGCCAGGTTGGATGACTAGCTCAGGCTTCCTGTTTTGCAAAAACGGGCAAATTCCTTCTGGGGCTGAGCTGCCATGGAGCCAATCTTGGCTATGTGCCTGTGTCAGGGTAGGTAAGTCTCTCTAGGCTTGAACAGAGCTTTCATAGAGCCATCTTTGTATTCAGAGCAGCATTAATTTGCCATTGAGATAAGCCATCCCTGGATAACTGAATGTTGCCTCTGGATAGTTTATACCCAGCTATGATAATACACACATTTTAGTACTGGTATAACAATGTCCCCTTGAGCATGTTCTCCCACTTATTGTATACTGCTTTACAACATCTGTTGGTTTAGCAGTACATGAGCTAGGAGTGGCTGGTGCTTCATTTCGCGTCCTTTGCCTGTACTTCAGAAAGGTGGGTCAGATAGTCAATTTATTCAATTTTCAGTGAAGGAAAAAATCAGAGATAGTTTAAGCTTCATATTGTTAGTTGAGATCACTTTGCTTCTGCTAGGGTCACATCAAGACATTTGTCCTGAAATAGCATACCTCTTTTGTAGTGAAGACAGAGTTTCTGTGGCATTTTGGGCCCTCATACTGTGGGACCTCTTAACACCTCTCCATTCTGTTCTCATTTTGTAAGCGGGAAATTCTTCTCCGTAAAGTCTGGTAGCTGTTCCTGTGAAATATTTAATTCTCCAATGGGTCAAACTTGTTCCTTTAGAGGCAGCCATTAAACCTAGATAACATGACTTTTGTGATGGTGAGGTGGCATACAAGCCTTATGCTGGCTGACAGTACAAGAGTGGGTTACACCCTGGTGTTAGCAAAGCATTTTGAAATTCTCTGAGGAAGGCACCCTAGATTTATAATTCACAGAATTTAAGGCCGGAAGGGCCATAGATCATTAGATCATCTTAGATCATCTAGTCTGACCTACATAATGCAGGTCATAGTGTTTTGCTGAGTAATTTCTGCTTCAGTCCTGGAACTTCTGTTACCGCTACGCTATACCTTATAGAGGAACATCTGGCATTAATTAAATAAATCCAGAAATGAAGATTTCACTTTATTCAGTGGTAGTTTAGTCTAGCAGTTAATTGCTTTTAATGGTTTTTGAGGAATAAATTGTATCTTGTTTCTAAGCTAAATTTCCACCTACTAAATAGATGGAAGATAAATAATAAAGATCCTTCTACTGTCATAAATATCTTTTTAATGAGTAAGTTTTAGCTTTTTAATGCATAAGTTTTAGTTATTAATTACAAAATCCTGAAGTTCAGGATCTTGATCACTTCATCTGGACACTTAATGAAAAAAAAAACTGCTGCATTCCTTAGATGGATCACGCTTTTTTCTGGACCCTTATTATGCCTACAAAAGAGACTTGGTATTTGTTCAAATTAACAAAGCAAATCCCTTCTAATACATTAGCAAATATAACTTAAAGCCTATACTTCAGTCAGGCAGAGGAATAGACTCCTGCTTTGGAGAAGACTCAGCTGAAACAAAAATTGGTATTAGCGTTATGCAAGGCATTTCTTCAGACCTCAGACTCACTTGAACTTAGCCTTGGGCCTGAGGCTGAGTGAGTTCATGAACCTTAGCTCCAGCTGGCAAAAATTCAGCTGTGAGAAATGTTGTCTATCCTCCTCCAGCAACTTGCGTTTTCTACAACACTCCCCAGAGCCTGTTAGATGCCACACAGGTAAGTGTGGGACTTGGGATGGTGCAGCTCGTAGAAGAGGGGTTTGCTCTGGAGTGCTCCCAAAGAGTTTAGGAACCCTGGGAGCACCACAGCCAGAGCCATGACACTGTGGGGTTGCCATAGCCCTCCAGTGATCCCGTGAACATGGAGCAAACCTAGTCAGCAAAGAAGTGACACTGCAGACTCACACTATAAGCATCTAGGTAGTGGAATTTTCTACTGGATTATCTGTTGAATATGCGTACTGTTATCTGTTGACCATCCTGTTGACCATCCTGTTGGTATCCCTACTGTTATTAACTAAGGCCGTCTGTTCTATTGTCCAGCTGTGGTCTGGCATTGATCAACTGAGTAATGAACTAAATCCAGTAAGAATAAAAGAAAGTAAGCCGCATACCTCTGAGGTGGACTCAGACTCACCATCTGTCTAGGCTTGCAGACTAGACACCCCACCCATAAGTGGGGATGCCCCTGGTGCCAACTGCCAGGGAGGACATGAATCCTCTCAGCGCAGCCCGAGTGTGGTGAGAACAATCCAGGGAACACTATACCAGAAGGGTGGCCCGTAAGTACGAGGAAAGGGCGAGAGCAGTCATTATACCATGCATCTGAGAACAGTCATAGTACTGTGCGTCTGTGGCTTAACTGTAGAGCTCTGATATGTGTATTCTATTTTTAGTTCTTTACTACACTTTTTAACTTTGTTGTACTGGTAAATTGTCTGCTGTTAATTGTTTAGTGTTGTCCAGTGTCCGTCACATGTGTAGAACTGCTTAGCTCTAATAAATTCTTATATCTCGCAACTGATGACCTCTCAAGTTCAGTGCAACGAACCCTGGAATTTGAAAGAATCCCGGACGCCCCTCTAGTAGCGTGTCACAAAGCTGTCCTTACATGGAGGGCGTGGAGGGAGGCAAAAGCAGGAGGAAGCAGGTTGCATGTCCTGTCACTACTCACTTTTCCTGGGGCATAATTTTATTTCCCTTCCCCGCTTTCCCATCCCCAGCAATTCTGGGGATGCTGGATGGCTGTCATCCCCAGAAGAATAGCAGAGTCATCCATGATGCAGGCTGTTGCCTTTTGTTGTCATTGGAGGATGGGTAGATGGATATTGAGCCTGTCCAGAGGAAAAGGAAATAAGGAAGATGCTTCCCATCCCATTAACTAATATTGAATTGGAACAAAGACAACCTGTAACCTCTAAGGGGAACCTCTAGAAAGAGACCCCCCCCCCCCCCCCAGAGGACTTTTTAACTTCCTTGGCCATATCTACTTTTATAAAACTAAATAGGGTCAAGATACAAGATGGAGCACTGCCACGTGACCGTTAGCTGCTGGCATGCTCCCTGGCATGACTTTGAGCTGTGCCAACCAGTGCTCTTCCAGACAATGCTTGAGAACGTTTTGGAGGAGAGCATGGGTACAGGATCATGCCCAGGAGACAATGTGAATAAGACCACTCTGGCATGCTATTCATGTCATTGCCTCTGGGTGAGAGGATGGGCCTTGGACTTTTTTACTGACCACACTGCCATCCACCAAACCTATAGTGCATTAGCTAGATGCTGCTCGTCTGAATAAAGTCTGACAACTTTTAGGATGAAGACTGTCATATAGGCACTGTATGTCTGTATTGTGCCAGTAGAGCTTATTTTGTTGGGGCGCCAGGGCAATAATTTTGATGGATAAAGCCATTTCCATCAGAAGTTCTTTGCTGGTAAAGTGGCTTTTACAAAGAGATAGTCTATAATAGTTCCCTAAACAAAATATGTAATGGTTGAAAAATCATGTTACTATATCTCACAGCTTCTGTTTTTAAATCATAAAATGGAGTTGCGTGCTGTAAATACACCGAAAGTTTTAAGTGTAGGCCTGGCAGTAGTTTGAGAGAATCACTGACACTTTGGGTTAATCGCATTAGGCCATTCTACTGCTAGGGAGAGTCATATGATATGATTAGCAAGTTTTGTTTTGAGTACCGAAAATGAATGTGGGAAAGGTAAGGATTATTCAGAGGTGCTATCATCCCTGGTAGTTATGCAGAAGATGCTAGATACTTACATAACTATTTGGGAGTTTAATGTCCTGTAACAGATGGTTAGATGGTATCTTCTCAGATAGCTTTCAATTTTTACCACATGCCCTAATTTCCCTTTTATTTTCCAAAGTCTTCAGTTATGTCTATACTGGAGAAACATACTCCGATAGATTTGTTTCTGTAGCGTTTCTGCAGCGTATAGTATGATAGTAAGCTGGTTAGGAGTGAGGCACCTGTGCATTACTGGAACAATACCAATAGTGCATCTTCGGTCTGCCATGGCCTACTGTTCCCTTTCCACAAGGCCAAGGGGATGGTGAGAGATCTGTTTAAAAAAATCCTCTTCAGTTAGCAAGCTGCTGGCCCTAGAGCAGAGGAGCCTTCTGCACATCTTTGAATATGTCCAGTGTTCTCTCAACTGGAGTGCCATTAGCAGGTTAGTCCCCATCTGCAGCCCTCGACTAGCACAGTTCCCTCTTCTTTTGATGCAGCCTAAGTAGCCCTTCTGAAAGAAATGAAACCGAATGAAAGCTGGAGAGAAGGGAAGTTACATGTACGTGATACTGGAATTCATAGGAGTGTTGCAAAGTAGAAGGGAAAATGAATAGCAGGCTTGGCTGAAAATAAAAGTTTAAACCATAGTTTCATGAACAGCCAGCATAAAGGAAATATGCCTCTCTTCCCTGGCTGCTTATTCCTCTGCCTTTCTTCATTTTGGCACGAGAGACGATGCAGCTGCAGGTTAGGGAGCTGATTTCACGGTTGCATTGAAAATAAATACATCAAACCAAAAACGGCTCAGAATTTTGTGAAAGGAGAGGGAAAGATGGTGAATTTGGATTGATATATATTTAAAAGCTGTAACAGGGTTGAGAGGAGCATTTTGCTAAGCTGTCTGCGAGTTGTGAGCAATCTGAAGACAGCCTATTAAGAAGGTGCAAAACCCAGTGCCAAATCTGGCCGCGAAGAGGAGTTGTTACCTATCCCTCTGGCCACGTTTCTTTCTCTGGTGACTGTGTGCAAGAAAACAAACTGAGCTATGAGTCCATAAATGTTTTGATAAACCAGATGGATCCCTTGCAAGGCCGTCTGATTTTATTTGGTTTTATTTCCACATTTCTTTTACAGCCAATTGCTATTGCATGTCTAATGGAGTGGTACTGCTACTATCTGCATTGATAATTGTCTTTCCCTGCACATTGACTGGCATGTTGGCAGATGATCGATGGCCTCAGGCTGCTATGTAAAAGTCCCAACAGTGGCAATGCTTGCAGGACTATAGCAGATGCTTAGACGTTGCTAGCATGGGGTGCTGTGTTAACGTTAGACTGCAACGCATACAAATGTAAGTGCCATTGATTTCACTGAGATGACTGGCCTGTAGTCATCACTCAGATTTGAATGTTTCATAATATTACATCAAGCACTTCCCTTATCCCACTTGTAGCCATTTCCTTGCAATGTGGAGTGCTGGCCTGTGCAGCACTTGCAGAACGATATTTTATGTGAATATTTGTTTTCCGTAACTATATAAAGAGATATCTGTCTAGATGTATAATAAACACCCCATAAAACAGCTTGACTTTGCATGGAGATTTGCAGCTGTGTTTACGTGGCCTGACACAGCAATATCCATACATCATCCCTTCCTCAAGGAAGTCTTGTTTCTCTTTTATGTCTTCTTGCCTTTTAAAGACTCTGAGTGAGAATTTACTTTACTTCCACATGACCAAAGTTTACCATCACCACATTGCATCTGCTTCTTAGCAGATGTTATGGAAAAATGACAGCATAATAAAATGTCATGCTAACTTGATCCAAGTGCACTTGGAAGAGGTATACTTGAACTTCAGCACCGCTGGTGGGAATGTGACTTGAATTAATGAACATCTAGGTCAGGTTTAGACCTCATTTTCCTCACACCAGTAGGCTGCTAATCTCACAGTCATCTTGGCTGGAACCATGCTTATACAAGATCATTAACATGCTCTTCCCCAAACCTTTCCAAAGATGCTAACAGATTAACAAAAGCATTGTTCTTTTGTGCTTTCCCTGGTTACCAAGGAACAGATTCTGTAAAATTTATCAGTAGAAAGTAATTCTCTGTCTCTGCAGGTGGCTTGATGTTAAAGGCACAGAGCTTAGACCTTGCAAAGGGATTCCCACCTTCTAATTTGATTAGCAAGTATTTGACTTGCTAGGGTTTTCTGAATGCACTCCAGGAACTTGGCTAGGCAGATCTTACTTGTTACTCTGTCCTGCTGTCTCGTGTGAGGTCTAAGTGGGGTTTAATTTTTCTTTCTAGAAATCACACAGAGCCCATGATGCCTGTCATTGTAGTAATCTCTAGAAATAACACAATATAGAAATAACATAGTTTTATTTAAAATTATTGGACCACACATATGTGTGTGTATGCATGCACATACACAGAAACACACACACATGAGCACACAAACACACTGTTCTAATACTGGAAGGTTCCTGTAGGTGGTAGGAAACTCCACAGTTAAGTTTACTGCTCATTATTACAATTTGCATTGCAGTAGCAGTTCGGTAGAAGCTCTCATCTGCTTGTGCTGGGCAATTTATACACTCAGTGCCCTAAACAACTCTTCTCCAAAGAGCTGGTGTGGGATTTCCTTAACAGTGATTTTGGAAGGTCCGCTTATTTCCGCTTTGTTTTTAGAAAGTAGTTCTGCTCCCTATTTTCAGGGTTGCACTGCAGCAGAAGCGACACATGGTCTGAGGGAGGAACACCAGCATAGGCTTGCTGGGCCTACAGCTCCTTTTTCCTCTTTTGGCAGCTTGTCTCTGCTTGGATTTCAGTTGTCTGGAGGTCAATGACTTCAGTTTCACTGCACATCTCTTTGAGATGATCCTAGAGAGGGCAACATGAGCCACAAAAGAGGATTTACTGCTGGTTTAACCAGTGATCATTGCCGGAAAATCTACATGGAGCGTGTTACAGAGAGCAGGTTCTGTACTCCACTTCCTAGCCACCGCCCCTGCGAGCTGTGAAACTCTGGGTCACACACATAGGGCTCACAGGTAAGAAAGCAATTGAGTTGCTTCTTGGTGTGCCCGATTTTCTTATCTTTTGTATTGCATGTATAAACTTAATATACAGGCCTAAGGCTTTGAATGAGTCAGGGTAGAAAACCTAATTTGCTGACAATTCTCTGGCGCAGAGTTACACAGTATGCTTCATCTAGAGATCTCAGACTATTTTACAAATCTTATTAGCCTAATTTTCATAGACTAAGATGCTGCAGTGAAGGGAGGGGATACTTCCCCCACAGGTGGATAAAACAACGTCAAAGACTGTCCAAAAAGAGAAGGCTGTTTGCTGAGATTTAAATCCTCAGCAATGTTATACAGATTGAAAGCATAAACTTGCTATTAGCCTAATGTAAACAGCTCTTCCATATGTTTGGTCTACTCATTGGCATGTTTTAAGTTACGCCCGTCATGCTGCTAATGCTTGGAAATGTTTATAGAAAAAGCTCAGAAGAAAAACAGTGCTTCCCTCCTCAACCAGGCCCGAGACATTTCTTTCACATTCCTCAGAACTGCTCATAAATTTCTGTGAATTTAACTTTGATTCTTCATCCTGTTCAGGAAATGCCCTGTCTGGAACTATCAGAAGGATTACCTGGCAAAATGGTTTATACCTCATATAAACCTGCAGGTCACAAGGGTCTTCTCTCAAATTGTTTTATTCCATTCAGACATTCAAGTCAGACTTCCTGATAAACTTGTATTTGATAGTAGTTCCCAGGGTGCCCTGCAGGTGAAAGTGAAGGTTGCTGGGTCAACCTCAGAGCAGAATTATGAAAAATGAACCACATTCAAGAAGTGGCTTCAGCTAGTCACTGTAGGCTGTCATTGCTGGTAGTATGGGATCATGTTCAATTTGGTGAAGTTTTAACAATGATATTTTGCAATGTGGGCACAATGCCTCGGTAGTTCAGGGCAATGAACTACTCTCAACTCTCTATATGATTGTCCGAGTCTATCAGAGGGTGCGTAGTGCTCAAGTTTCATGGTATTTCTCTTCCTTACTGGGGCTTTATAGGACAGTTGCCCCCATTTTCCCAGCAAGCATCCTTTGAAAGACAGTTGGGCATTATGCAAGTTATGAAAAATGTTGCAGAAAATTTCTACTGAGAATTTCCAGTAAAATCCTTCTTCTATGTTTGTTCTCTAACTGTAGATCCAATTGTCAGCATAAGAACAATTTTAAAGCTTTTTTCCTAATGGCTTTCCACCCCTCGTTTTAAACCAGATGCTGTTGTGACCATTTACACACATGCTTTCAGTGCATGGTAGACGGGGCTCTAAAATCATTCACTACTTGCATCTCCACCAACAAAACTGAGGTGCATGCCTCTGTTACACTACTTTTAGTAACAGAAGGGTGATTTTTGTGTGCATTGATCTGATGGGGATTCTGTCATTGGTTTTGCAGTGAGCTCTTCCTTCCTCCCCTTCTCCCACCTCCTCAGCAGACCTGTGTGGCTCTTCCTTCCCTCTTTGATCCATACTGCAGCTGCTGGCCGACTGGCTAATCACCCTGAACTTGCTTGCACTGCTAGGACCTGACTTCCAAATTCCAACTAACTTTACTCGAGCAATGGCAGGCTGGCAGCTCTCCAGTCCTCTTACTGGGTCTGCTCCAGCTATTTATTGTGAAACTTTTGCTCCTCTTGGACTTTGCAGCAATTTTCATCCCCCTGGGTGATTTGCCTGGCACCAGGTAGAGACATCCAATAAAGAGCTCTGGGAATTTGCTCTGTGCTCAGCAACATGTAGATGCTTCTGACCTGAGTCCTGGTTCTTCTGTAGCAATATACAAGAGTTTGTAAAACCAATAAAAGTGACTTTAACCCTTGACTATAAATGTTTTGGTGGGATTGTGTGGCAGGAAAAAAAAGCTGCATATGCTAGGAATTGAGCCAGGGTCCGGATCTGAGGATCAGTAAGAAACTTCAGAAGACATGTAAAGGAGCATTAATTTTACTCACTTTTGGAGCAAGTCCGAACTTTTTTGTTTCCCTTGCATTGCTAAGACTCTTCTCCTTTACATATATCTACTAAAACAAACCAAACAAGCTAAGTTTCTCTGTAGTTCACACTATAGGTGTGACTCTCCACTGCTGCACAGTATGCAAATCCTATCTAAGCAGAACGGGGCCCTGTTCCATGCTCCTTGCATATCCTTTGTGTTGGTGCAAATGACTTCAAAAGGGTTCCTCGGTGACTAATCCACAAGGTGATGATAGCCAGCAGTCTAGATGCATGCCAGCTAAATAAGTGCCATACACCGTGTTGCAGAAGCCATTGTTTTCTTCCACAAGGGAGAAACATCCATCTTAATATAGCTGTTCTGACAGAAGAAGCAAGAGTGTGTATGAGCTAGTTCTCAGAATGGAAACTGCTGCTGCTGATCTATGTCACCCCTCACACTAGCCACACAAGCGCTCATATATATTTTAATGCAAAATGTGGGAGATCAATCAGAGACTGAGGTAAAAGGCAAACCTCTGAAGGCAGCAGGTCATCTGGAAAAACAGCTTTCTCCTACGTTCCTCAATTGCCATTTAAAGTGGAAACCCACAGTGAGGAAGGTAGGCAGCCCAGCAACTTCATGGCACTAACCTCTCACCTTTGCAAACCTGCACTCATTTGTAGGTTGATTCCCACAGCTTTGTTATATTTAGGCCTGTGGCTGAACAATCTGGCAAATTTGTGGGTGCTGCTTGACCTCCTGCTTAAAAGACATCAAAGGTCAGTGCTAAGGAGTAATGCCCACCACAGAGCTGTCCTATCCCGAATTCTAAGCAAGAGGTTTGCAGAGCCCTTCCTCCTCGTCTCATCCCGCGGTCCTGGCGCCGCGCCTCCTGCGTGCTTACCAGCAGTCTGGCACTGAGGTGCTCCTGTGGCAGGGCTCTCTTGCCAGGAGCAGCTGCTCAGCCAGGCCTGACATGCAGGGTCCCAAGCAGGGAGAAACCTTGGCACTGGGCTGCCTCTCGTGCCCACTGGTAGTGCTTCAGGCAGGAACGCTGCACCCGCTGTACTGCACAGCAGGAGTCACATCAGATGTGCGTGACAGGGCCGGCGCTTCTGAGGGCTGCTGGGTCTGCCCTCACTGTGTGCACGAGGTGGGTGCTACTGAAAATATTCAGATTTGTTGGGCACAGTGCTAGACATCTCTGTCTAGGCTGTTCTGGGCAGGAATACGGTGACATCCATGCTCAAAGGCACAGTCCCCTGCCGCAGCAGCTTTGCGCTACCAGTGTTGGGGTTAGGTCTTCATAGTTTTGGCATCTGTAGTGGCAAAGTAGTATGACAGCGTTTGGCTGTTGACTCCTCTTGTGAAGCACTAATTCGGAATTTTTTAAGGCATCCTAAGGCGCCTCAGGCCAACTGAACTTCAACAGTTCTACTGCTGCTACTTCTCATTGCAGTGGTAGTCTCACTCTAACCCTGAAAGCTGCTTGCAGGGGAAAGAGTTCCTGAACCTCTGCTGATTTTGCACCTGTGTTGTAGTTGTGGGTTTTCATAAGGTACAGAGCACTATTGCATAAGAAGGAGAGCTGGGAATCATTGCAGTGCTGTCCTTCTTGATCCTGTTGTGCCATGACCTCTGATGAGGTCATGAAATGAAAGGTAGCAACTACCCCTTCCGTTTTACTTGATAATTTTTTATTAGTAATTGCTGTGATCACCCGTAATTGTTAATATTGTGCTGTGATTGGCAAGGTTCAGTGTAAGGCTGATTTCTGCTTTGTGGAATCCTCTGTGGGGCAAAAAAAGGCTGTTTAGTTTGTCACTGCTGTCTTCCATAATAATGTATTTCAAGTTAACTGAAGCTACTGCTTAGGACAAGTCAGTTGCATTTAGGATATTGGACTAAATTTGCCTCTCTGAATCAGGTCTGATGTCTCTTTTAAGCCAATTCCAACCTAGAGAGAATTTCAAGAGGTATTTGGGACCCCTAGGGAGCACATGCTGCATTATTCAAACGTCCTTTGAAGAAGTGAATTGTGTCCAAGAACATGCCCATCACTAACTGTGAGCTGAATTCAGTAATAGCCAAGTAATAGAAAACTTGCCTCACCTGCATAGAGAAGTTGCGCCATTGTTCCTTCTTCAACACTGCGTGATGTTTTAATAGAACCAGCCACAATGTCATTCTAAACTAGGATTTTCTCTTTCAGAAAGCCTAGACAGAAACAGAGTAGCTGTATAACTGGAGTGGCTGTTTATCACAGCGCAGGATAGAAGAACCTCCATCGCAAAAGGAGACTCCATGAATTGGTTCCCTGAAAGAAAACGCTACCTCCTCAAGACCCCTGGGCACTATGGGAATAAAAAGAGCTGCTACTCAAATATTTACTAGAGGTGTATCTGGATCATACCCCTGTGTCTGGCTCCCCCAAGCCTCCCCTGAGCTCAGGAAGTTTCAGATTCAGGCTTTGATTCTCATCCTTGTATTTCTCAGCCATCTGAACCTTGTACTTCAAAACTGCTGAAGGGTTGGGGGCATTGGAAGGAGTTCTTGGGAGATGAATGTGAAAGCTGTATGGGAAAGGAGTGTGAAAAATTGCGTGGATGCTGATGTGACTTACGACATATCTCTCCAGTTCATCACTTTGGTCCACATTACTTCCCTTATGTAGATACAAATTTAGGACTTAAATTTGTAATAATTCCGCATGTATGATGAATTTGTACATATTATACGCTACTGCAGAATGCCTTTTACAGAGTTCGACAGGCACTTTTGCTGTATGCAAACCCGTGTGCCTTTCAAAGCTCTGCTCTGCGGATTTCTCTCCCGACTCATTGGAATAGGGGACCTCGGCAATGGGAGGTGGGTGATTATTAATGGGATCTACAGGAGAAGCCAACACACTGTCAAGTGAGAGTGGGACCTGGGAGTAACTAGGTTAAAGATACATTGATAGGAGCTTTTGTTTTCTGCCTGATCTGACGCAGAGATTTGGGAACAGTCTCCACCAATTCTAGTCTGGTATATCCTGACA